GGAAATCAGAAAAAAACAGATTTCAGAGTAACAGCCGTGTTAGTCTGTATTCGCAAAAAGAAAAGGAGTACTTGTGGCACCTTAGAGACTAACCAATTTATTTGAGCACGTGCTTTCGTGAGCTACAGCTCACTTCATCGGATGCATCCGACTTGATTATGTAAAGAGTTGTCACTTTGGATGGGCTAGCACCAGCAGGAGAGTGAATTTGTGTGGAGGGGTGGAGGGTGAGAAAACCTGGATTTGTGCTGGAAATGGCCCACCTGATGATCACTTTAGATAAGCTATTACCAGCAGGACAGTGGGGTGGGAGGAGGTATTGTTTCATGATCTCTGTGTGTATATAAAGTCTGCTGCAGTTTCCACGGTATGCATCTGATGAAGTGAGCTGTAGCTCACGAAAGCTCATGCTCAAATAAATTGGTTAGTCTCTAAGGTGCTACAAGTACTCCTTTTCTTTTTGCGAATACAGACTAACACGGCTGTTACTCTGAAACCTGTCAAATAAATTGGTTAGTCTCTAAGGTGCCACGAGTACTCCTTTTCTTTTTTTGAAAAAAACAGAATAATACTTTTTGTAAAACCCGGGAATTTTTCGGTAAAAATCAGTTTAAACTGAAAACCAACGGGCTCAGTCATACATCATCATCAGGATTCTTCTCCTTCCGTGTGTGTTACAGCTAGGGATCATATGAGCTGAACTATAAACAGTATAAAGAATATACAAAAATATTTTTAACATTTAGGTGCTTTCCCTTATTCTAATGCTAATGTGAGAGCCGTGTTTGCACTTCTGTATTTGCTAAAACTCAGTATCCCTTGATCTGCAATTTTCTTGTGCCTTAAACTTCAGTGAGTTGGGATGCACTCCTCTGAAGTGCTCTGAGCCCTCCACCCTTATTGGAAGTAACCGGAGTTGAGGGGACTCATCACTTGATCCAATGCCAATTGAAGTGAAAAACAGCCTTTCCAATGACTTCAGTAAACATTAGATTGGCCCATTAAAAGTTAGGTGAATGAGCCATGCCAGGAAATCAGTGTGCTTCCTTGTTGTGTTTCAGATTCATCGCATGCCCAAGAAAGTGTGGTGCTCACCAGTCTGAATCGTTCCCTGGTACCTTCTCCTCCAAAGTGCCCCTCACCCTCGTCCATACAGGGTGTTGCAGCTAGACCTTCGAAAGTGAGAGACATCAGGGTCAGACGTCTGAAAGTGCCCAACCAGAGAGAAGCAGCTCAACTGAAGGAATATCCCCAATCAAGAGTTAGCACAGAAATGGCAGCCCATCTTGTGGGTGAAGAGATTGCTAGTCTGAGTCTGCACAACACACCTGCTGCATATGAAGCATCACCATTGAGAGCTGCAGGGAGGACTTGGACCAGTGAGAATGTTGGCAGGCAAACCAGGAGGCCTATTTCAGGACCAGCAGCTATTGGATCAACAAGTGTCAGGTATGCTCACTAGGTAGGCAACTTTTCTATGCAATTCTGGTAAGCATAGAAGGGACTTCACTGGGGGAGAAAAGGTGAAGCCCTGTTGACTCTGATGTTTACTACACCACAGAGTCCAAACTCTTAGCTAGATGGTATCTACCGTATATTCTGTAGAAAGCACTGCTTGGTATCTTGGTGACCTATGCATCATTTAGTCCTTCCAAAACTAAACTAGTATGATCTTACATTACTCATACCTTGGTTACGTCTAACATTCAGTCTCGATATTAGTCATATCAGATACGCAGTTTTTCCTTGAAATTTACAGTAATTCACTTGAAAAGGAAATTCAGGGGGAAAGGCGTTTCTAAAGATAAAAGTGGATGTAAAGTAGATAGGTGTTACGTAAAGCAAATCTGGTTGTGATTGGACCCTTCTATTGTAATATCAGCATCTTATTTGCTCATTTGAAAGTTGGAGCTGCCCAGAATGTGGACATTTTGATTTCCAGGTAACATAATAGTTATAATATAGGATCAACACAGGAGCTGTCCCTTGTACTGTTTGTTCGGGTCACTCCAAATGAGGGTTAGCTACTTTCTAAAACAGAGAAAAGTTTCCCTTTACAATCTAACTCTTCAATTGCCTGCATGCTACTCCGTGTTCCAGCTATACCCAGGTAAAAGACATCTGCTGTGTGCCAAGGTAGGATTCCTACCTATGAAATGCTGGTGGACAATGATGACACAGCAGATATGAGGGGGGCCAGCAGTGAACGAGTTAAAAATAACCCAAAAAACCAAAGACCCAGTGAATTACATTTTCATATTGTGTCCCGATCTGTCTTCTCAGGGTAGAACTCCAATATCAGCCTTTCTATCAGTCCTTCATCCATATGGAGACTCTGCACATCTACAGAGACTGGCAAGCAGTCTAGTGTTTGCCAAACTAACTGAAATAGCAGTGTGGACTCCTCAGAGAGTCCTGTTGTGCCAACCTTCCTGTGGTGTCCAGTGCTGGAAGTGCTTGGTGCAGTTCTCGGGTGAATCCACGGGGCTCACTCAGTTCCCCATAACAACTTGCGCCATCTCACAATAGCAATTTTTTCTTCCTTTCAGAGCCACTGTGGATAGGAGTCCCCCCAAAGTGATCAACCGTCACCAGCCAGTTGTCCGCTCATCCACAAAAACCCCAGAGAGGTTTGCGCTGAGGAATGTGGTCCGTCCTCTGACGGCCAAGGCTGCTCTGCAGAGGTTGCCAAGCAGGCCCAGTGTCTCAACAGCTACTCAGAGCAAAATGCCAAAGTCATAGAAAATACCCCAAGTAGCCATGTACGTTGGAGCCGAGTCGGACAAGCCCACAGTGCTCAGTTGGAGTCTGCGTCCCTCACACTTAACACCAGCAGCACGAATGCTGTATTCTGACTTCTTATGAGAGCTGAATACATTGATGGAGCTGCACAAGCAGAACTAACAGCTTGATTGGTCTCAGTTAAAGCTACAGCTGGTCAGAAATGCTTGCTTGAAAAAGCACCTTCTAATCAACTCAACAGTTGATCAACCTCTTATTAAATAAAAAGCAGCTATTTGTATAGTCTTTGTGTGCTGAAAGGGACAAGACTTGGCACACTTGGCTTCTCTGCATTAATCCCCAGCTATGTTACTAGGGAGCCTGCAGTGATGCCCCATAGGAAAGGGAAAGTTGCAGTCCCCTAGACTCAGTGCTGGGCAGCTGGCATCTGAGGGCCCTCAGTTTTCCCTCTTGCATTCAGCGTGCAAAATACTCATGCATGTGTCAGCCTGCTGTCATCTAAACAGGCGCATTGCATACGCTCCTTGGATCCTATATGTTCAACACACAAGTGAAACAACTCTGAGTGGAGGGGGGATTGCTGCAAAGACCAGTTTAAAGTGATTGTATTGCAGATGAGTGTGCGTGTTCCCTACTCACCTGGGATAGCTGAAGTCCAGCATGCAGGAAGTCTGTCTGATTTTAGCACTAATTTCCATTCTCCCACTGACATTTACCACTTTGATCTGTTTGTAATCTTTAATTGTTCCCCTCAGCTATATGGCTAAGGGAAGGAATACTGAAGATGCAACTCACTGGAAAATCAGTGTGTCAGCCTGCTGGGTCTCTGCTCTGAAGGAACTCTCAGCACTTCCCCAGAACTGCTGTTCTATGGCTAGACATCCCAGGTCTGAATTTCACCCAGCGACCTTTGTAAATAAATTTAATTGGGTCCATCTGGCTCCCCAGAAAACTCTCTTTGTCACCCTGACATTTCAGACCAAATGAGTGACAAGCAAACAGACATGCAGAATCAAACATTCCCTGTTTATTCTTTCAGATCAGTTACATTTTCCAAATTAATGTGACTTCATTATTTTAAGTGATTCATCAGTAACAGTGAAGTGGGTAGGGAAGGAGCAGTTCTTGTTTTCCACAGGGTATTTATTCTATGTTGGGGTAAGATGTAAAGTGCTATGAGCTGATCTAAATGATTGCATACTGTGATATAGGTAAGAGTGACTGCGGTGTATGATCTGAACAATGTCAGGTGTTCTCAAACCAAGCATCAGAAAATCTTTTTTTTTTCTACCTTCAAATTAATACGTTACAGATATTTTCTGGGAAACAGTTGATAATACATTAAATTATGCAATTATCCCTTGTATAGTTTGTTGCCTGAACCTCACTGCTAATATAAACTAAAGGAATACGATGTACCATAGACCCAAATCCTTCAGCTTGGTCCCACTGCCCTGCTACCCATTCTTCTTATAAAATAGTTGTGAGCGGAAGTCAAGTTCATATTCTCTCAGCGGGCATAAGAAAGAATCATCAATCAGATACATTAAGTATTGAGTGGCAAGCAGTTCCCCAAAATCGTGAGTGTTGGAGGGATTTCCAGTCACTCATCGCCCAACAAAGTGCTTGTGTAGTTAAACTGGCATCTCAAATTGATTCTATGCCAGTGTCACTGATCATGAACAAAATAAAGGGACAGTCTGGCTCAATAGGATAGAAAAGAGAAGAATGTTAGGGCCTGATTTTCAGAAGTGCTGAGTGCCCACACTCCGGGGTGAAGTCAATAGGCGTTGCAGATGCTCAACACTTGTGAAAAGCAGGCCCTGCGTATAAAAGCTAGTGTAAAAGTGAGTGGTATTTAGGACCATCTGCTGCAAATGGCCCCTAGCTACTCTCTCAATTTGTGCTTGTGACTTCGTATGTACAGAATCCTAAATTCTCATGCATAAATGGGGTTTCGGCTTGCAAATCAGGCAGTTGGGTTTGTCTGCCTGATCTGCACACAAACTGGGCACAGATATAGAAGCTACTTCTGGAAATGGCTATGGGATCTTTCCAGGAAAACACAGGCTTGGCTCTGTACCATTATCAGGCAAGGGGCCTCTCCACTGTATTCCTGTGGTGGGGGACAGGGAGAAATGATCAGTAGTGTTTTTGTCTATGGACTGGTAAGTTAACAGGGACCATGGTACAGGAGCAGAGTAAGAGACTTTTGGGAAGTGCCTTTGTGGGCTCAGTGGGAGCAATCCCTTCCATTTCTGACCTTTGTCATCATTCATCTCAGTTATAGAGACCTTCTCTCTTGCCCCAGTAATTCTACTATCATCAGATGAGGAACACATCACCAGCAGACCTTACTCCCAGCCTTCACCATGGGCCTCCTGACTGGAAGGGTGGGAACTGCAGCCACCAATGGCCGCTCCATGATGATCTTGCCTACAGTGTCCTGACTTTGCTCTTGGTGGAGTTCTCAAGTGATAAATAACAGCCTTGCAGGCAGCACATCCTTTCAAAACAGCCACCCTACCTATTACTGACTGACTCTTCTCCCCTGGTTGAAATAAGCCAGATGGCAGCACGTTCACTGGAGCAGCATGGCGTGTATTTAAGAACCTGTGCAAGCTTCCTGTGTCACCTATTAATCCGTGCATCATCTAGCAGGACAGTATCTCCTAAGCTGCATGTCAGTAGTGGTAGGTAGGTAAGCCATGTGCTTGAAGCCGTATTTAGATCGAGCACTCTTCTGTCCTGTCAGCCCCACCGTAGGAATTGTTGTATCCAGAGCTGTCTTGAAGACCTGAAAAGCAAAGTTATCATAAGTAATAGGCATGTTGTAGCAGATGGGGAGTGCCACTGGGTACCTGGCTGGTGTTTGCCTTTCAAGCTCCAGAGAACACCACGATGGAGTTCATCCATGTCTAATGTTCTCTAATGGGAGGGATTTTTTTATTCCCAGGAGCCCTAGGGTTGCCCCCTCTCCTCTGACATTCAGAGCCTAGTCCATTGTGATGGGTCTGCCTGCAGCTTGAAAGCTGCTCTTAGAGGACATGACAGGCGTATGAATTTACTACGGGTCTCACTATGTCACCTTGCTGCATCACGATGATGCATCTGCACAAATAATGCTGTGATAGAGGCTCATGATGCAGCATGGCACGAGGACAGATTATCCCATGTGGACACACCAGGAGGCTCTCCAAACATGCATGATCCCGCATCCTGATGACACAGAGTCATTATTTTAACTTCGGGGACACACAAACAAGTAGTTGCCCATCTTACCTGTGCTTCCCTTTTCTCAGCCTGCTGCTACAGTCACCTTACAGAAAAGTGGAGGTAGGCACAGCAAACACTCTGAAGTGTAGGAGAGGGGGATTGTGCTTCACGGGGCTGACACACTTTGTCTGACTGGACGCACGAATGGCTACGTTCCCAGTCAGTGTCACAGGAGACAAATGAACTATCCTCCCACTTTTCCATAAATAACACCCAGCTTTCATACATCGCTTTGCAGTCGCAGATCTCAGAGTACTTTACAAAGGAGGGTGAGCATTGTTATCCCCATTTTACAGATGGGGAAACTGAGGTACATGACTTACCCAAAGTCTCACAGCAAACCAGTGGCAGAGCTGCTGACTCCCAGGGGCCCACACTGCCTCCTTCCATATGTGGCATAGTTAACTTTTCACTCTCTGGGAAAATGCTAATTTGTTCTAGAACGGGGTAAGGGGAGCTCAGATGAGAGCAGATCCAATTAATGGTTGTTGAGGCTTAGTGGACAATTTTCTATTACCGGTCTGAACTCCACACTCAGCCTTCAATACATCCTTCCCCGGGGGCCTGACCTCCTGAATACTACATGCAAGCATATGTACAATGGGGTTTAATGTGTAATAAGACATGCAGAGCAGCATAACACCAGTGAGAATGTAACAGCAGGAAGGCTGGTTAGAGAGAGGAAACTTGTCATCACAGCCTGACATACAAAGGAAGAAGGTTGGTGGTCTCATCTCTATTGCTAGCGGATGCCACATCAAAGCGGCAGAGAACCACTGCACAATTATCAGTCCCTGATTCCAGGGCTGGCACAGGGAACAGGCTGTTGCACATCAGGGCTGAGCTGTCCTGGCAGAGCTGTGGGGTGAGAAGCTGACACTGGTTTTAGCTAGTGTAATACACCCTCCACCTTTATAACTGCCACACACACAAAAAAAATAAAAAAAAATCTAGGGCCTTGTTTTATCAATCTACTAAGAAATGCCGAGTGTGATGGGATGCCTGTGAGGGGGGTTCATTTGGATGAAATGGGAAATGAGATTAGCTGTGGATTTCTCTGTGTATGTTTCCCTGATTAGAATCCTGCCTTGGCCCCCAGGGATCTAAGGGGCCTATCCCATTCTTTTCATCTGAATCTCTGCAGCGTCCCAGCTTAGGATGCTAGGAATCGCAGACAGGTCCCTTCAGTCTTGTAACGGGACAGGAACTGCTGATGCCTTCAAGAATCTTTCAGAATTAATGGGATTTGCTCTTTGCTGCCAAATTGATATTTACAGTCTAAGCAGGAGGCAGGGGGAAAGAACCACCCTCCCTCCCCCCAGCTGTTAATAAATCAGGACCAAGGGGAGGAATTTTCTGCCAGACGGCCGAGGCTCCTCAGGACACAAGCTGCTCATTGTGAGTCTGTTCATTTCCCTACAGCGCTTCCTCCTGAGCACAGCAACTGCAAACCCTTCCCTCCTGCCACCTCTTTCCTCTTGCCTCGCTGTGATGCCTTCATTACAGGCTGCTCTGTGCTGGCTGCTTATCTGCTGCTGGCAAAGCCTGCCTATTCTGGGACTAGGTCATGCTCTGGCGCTGTCCCAGATAACAGACATATTGCACCTTCCTCCGCACCTTGCTGCAATGTATTAACAGCTGCAGGATCTTTCTTAATGCCCCAGGCAACGCTTGCCACCAGGGAGCAATGAATATCCTGGGACTTTTGCCAAGCGTCTGTCCAGTTCTACAGCCCCTGACCCTGCCACAGGGAGCTGACGGATACGCTGGTTAAGGGAGAACAATAGACTAGCCAGCTGAGGGTGTAGATATCAAATGGCTAGCCGGGCCCTGCCTCCCCTTTTCAGCTCTGTCTGACATAATGTACGCCTTAAACAACCCATCTCCTCTCACACAGCTCCCCTCCCTCTGTGTCCAGCGCTGCCAGAGAGTTACTTACTCTGGGTTTTGGCTCTGCAGTTGGAGGCTGCCTTCCATGAGGAGCAAAATCCTCCTCTTCATCCTCCTTCTCCTTGCTGGGTGAAAAGCGTTTCTGCTTGACTGCCACTGAAGAGAGAACCCCAGAGACTTCAATGGGAGAGGCACTCTCTCATGAAAACACAATTGAATCGTGAGGAGACTCAGGGAAGTTTCCTAACTTGCTGTTTGGATTAGGTAGTGCCAAAAGCCTCCACCAAAGCCAGGGCCTCAGTGTGCTATGCACGGAGTGCACACCCAGGAAGCAGGAGCAGTAAATCTCAGCCAAACATTTCAGCCTGTCCTAGGTGGGAAGAGCCAGGGGCCCCTGACAGTTCCACCCATTGTTCCCCCAGGGCTATACATAGGTTTGGAAATGTGGTCCAAAATGAGTGCCCTACATAGCCCCAGAGGTGGCTGCATCTCACTGCTGGGTGAATAAAACCCTGACATTCTTTCGGTGTACCAGAATGGGGAGCTGGGTTGAAGAGTTTGTTTCGGGGGCGTGTGACGGGGTAGTCTTCTCTTTAAGGGCAATAATGCCTCGTGGTCAGCCCACCGCACCAGGTGGCATAGCCCTTAAGGATCTGAGAAGTCCAGTAGACTACAGAAGGCCCTAATGGGGGATACGGATGGAGAGGAAGCAGTGCTGGGATTGAGGGGTGTCCGGAAGGAAATCCCATCCCTGTAGCTTTAAGAGATCAGGGCCTTGCTGAAGGGGCAGAGCAGGGCAATGCTAACCCAGAACTCGCTCAGCTCCCAAGAGGAGAGCTGGGGAGACTCCTGCCTAAGGATGGCCTGAAAAGGAGCCACCCAGAGAAGACACCTGGAAGGGTTCCAGAAACACTGCTCAGGGGTGTGGGGATGCAGAGTCTTCTGAAGGAAGGAGCCAGAGATTGCTGGTTGGACTGAACCTGAGACAATGAATGTCCCCAGGTGTATCTGAGTAAGCTCCTGCTTGTGCTTTTGGCTCTTGTTAATAACTGAGACCCTTGAAAAAGGGGGTGGGCTTTGATGTAATAGGTCTGTCTGGACTCGTTTATAACCCAGGCGAAGGGAAGTGAGGCAGGGCTCACCAGCTGGGCCATGCTCAGCCAACCGGAGCTGCACAGGAGTGACCACCATGTCATCACACGGGGACTGTGGGAGAGTCCCGACGCTGGCAGGGGAGGTGCAGCGAGGTGGAGGGCTGGAGATCTGTGGGAGGGCACAGGAGGGTTATGCTGGGTGGTTGGTGGAACACGCTCAGTGCTCTAAGGAGAGTACATTCACGTTGCCAATGTGAGCCAGCCCCTCAGCTGCTGTAAGCTGGCGGAGTTCTGGGGAAGTCAGCGACACTAGGGCGCTTTACGCCACGGGAGGATCTTCTTGATGTTGATAGTAAAGAGAACGTTACAATTGCCAGTCTGAGGTGTGCCTTCTTTCTGGAACCTGCTGTGGGGTTGTGGGTAAGGGGTGATTATACATTCCAGACCTGGGCGAGGGCCTGGCATTCTGGGCAGAGGAAACACAGGCTGAAAGTAGGGAACAGGTGCTTTCCAGACAGTCCTGGGGGTTGGGGAGCATTTTCATGGCTACTTGGTTCACGTAGTGTATCCACTGACATGAAACTGTTTTGTTCAAAATCATCTGAATGCAGGTTGCCTGACACCGAGGGTGAGTGCCACTGTGCAAGTCAGTGCTGGATTGGCTGAGCTGGTTTAGTACCAAACTATTTTGTAGGGTATGTAGCACTGTGCTGCTCTGCACCAACGCACCTGATATGGAAGGTAAGTTCTCGACTGAGAAAGAGACAGTCTTGTGAACTGTCTCTCTGGGTCCAGGCTGGATTTTCCTCTTACTGCCGTTTGAAGGGTCTCCCAGATGGTTCCTGTTTGAAGAGCCAACAGGAAAGTGCTTCCTGTCCCTGTGAGGAGAAACAGGACCCATTCACGATGCACCACGTAAACTGGCTGAGTGTTAGTAATCTGTTACCAACACTTTTCATCAGTCTCAGTCAATTCAGGGGCTTCATTTTACTGCTGGGAATGTTTCAAACCATCAGCTACTGGTATGGAATCTCATTTGCAGGGAACCACCAGCCTTTCTGAAATGTGCAATATCAGCTCCGATCAATATTCTATCTGCTTTGGCGTCCTACATCTCGCCCGTGAAAAGCCCGTAATGCACCTGGCCAGTTATGCAATGCTGTCCCTGGGAGAGAACTTTCCTGCCTCACCCCAGCAGCAGCACCCAGCTGAGCCCCTGAAGTATGAATTTCCGTTACACCCGCTCTCAGCACAAATACGATCACTGTTACAGCTCAGCTCTTATATCCTGGCCATTTGGGGGTGCCTCACACTCTTGGCTCAATAAACTCCCTGCTACGTGTTGGCCAAACTCGGCTTAGCCTCTGCCTCTTCTCTGATTTCCCAACTTCAACTTCCTTCACGCTATCTGCTGCTGCTGTATGATTCTCCCTGCCCCTGACTCATAATGTAGCAGCTATATCAGTGCTAAAGGCCTAGTTGAGCCAGAAAAACCCTAGAGGATCAGACATTGCACCCCTTGGCCCTGATTTTCAGTTCTTCTGCTCCTCCCCTTGTGGCAGGAAGGGGAGAGCTTGGCAAAGCCAGTTTCAAGGCACCTTTTGGTCTTTCCATGGTCTGGGGCAGGTGGTGGACTCCCCACCTCTGGGAGTAAGTTAGAGCAGCTCCAGCATATGCTCTGCCTCCCATGGCCTTGAGTGGGTGTTAGGAAGAAGAGACTAGCCCGAGCACAGCACATTCCAGCCAGCCAGTCTCCACTCCCAGCCTCCCATTCCCCTGCCCGGCCTACCTCCAACCTGCCCTCTCCACTGGGGCCTGGGAGCAGGGCTGGGGCAGAGCTCTCACAGCAGCTCCACAGCAGCAGCGAGGCCCCCTGCAGGGATGGGGCAAAGGAGCCTTTGTGTGACTGGGCATCAGGCCCCTTGTGCCAGGCCCAGGAGAGGAGCTCTGCTGAGTGTTTCACTCCAGCCAGGGTTTTTACCTGGCCTCCTGCAGTACAGCCGGTGGCCTGCCTGTCCTCCCTCTGCATGGCGCTGCAGGGACCCATTGCTGATCCTTCTGGGGCAGAGGTTCTTCTGCTTCCTCTCCTTCTCCAGCGAGTGGGAACTTGTCCACCGAAAGGTCCGTGTTATCACTGTAGGCGTCTGCGGCTGCTGTGAATCTGTGAGGGGCCGTGTACCTGGAGAGAGTCTCGGACAGGCCAAGGGAGTGAGGGGAGGAAAGGAAAGAGAGAGGATTATTCTCCAGGCCCCTCTATCCCTTGGTTCTCCCTCCTCACATTCCAACTGCTCCACTGGCTGGATTTATTCCTGCTTGGTGCTTGTCATGGCCCCCCCACAGCCTGTTACTGAAACTCTGACCCGGGTGGGAGCAATAAACCGACCACCACATGGCAGACTCTGGGGAGGGAAGAAAACGCTGCTTCTGAGGCTGGGCTTGGCTCTGTAGGGAGGCAAAGGACAACTGCTGACAGAGGAATGACCAGCGCAGCTTTTGTGGCCTTGGGGCGGTGTGGTGACCGACAGGGAAGTGGCTGATGTTTTGCTGTGATGGGAAAGCCTGTGGGTGGGAGCAGCCCCTAGGAGAAAGCTGGGGTTCGGGACACGTTGGGGAAAGCCTTAGAATATTGAAAAAAGAAAAGGAGTACTTGTGGCACCTTAGAGACTAACCAATTTATTTGAGCATGAGCTTTCGTGAGCTACAGCTCACTTCATCGGATGCATACCATGGAAACTGCAGCAGACTTTATATACACACAGAGACTTTGGATGGGCTATTACCAGCAGGAGAGTGAGTTTGTGTGTGGGGGGGTGGAGGGTGAGAAAACCTGGATTTCTGCTGGAAATGGCCCAACTTGATGATCACTTTAGATAAGCTATTACCAGCAGGACAGTGGGGTGGGAGGAGGTATTGTTTCATGATCTCTGTGTGTATATAAAGACTGCTGCAGTTTCCACGGTATGCATCCGATGAAGTGAGCTGTAGCTCACGAAAGCTCATGCTCAAATAAATTGGTTAGTCTCTAAGGTGCCACAAGTACTCCTTTTCTTTTTGCGAATACAGACTAACACAGCTGTTACTCTGAAACCTTAGAATATTGAGAACACCTGCAGATTTCACTGTCTATCTTTCCCCCTCCTGGAATCAGAGGGATGCTGTCTAACCCAGACATAGCTCCCAGGAGAGGCTCCGGGCCAGGGGACAGCAACAAGGCCACAAGGCGACATGAGTGCAAAAAGGCTGTTGCCAAGCTCAGGGCTGCAATTAGCCCTGCTTCCAGCATCCATCTCAGCTCAGATCCCTGTGCTTCCTGTACTCAGACACAAGGAGGCAGCTTTGTTGGGAAGATGATTCCACTGGCAGCTGCTGGGCAGTGTACCTGGAGCAGCAGAGGTGCAGCAGGAAAGCCTTCACCAGAGAGATGAAAGCTGGGAAGTTGACAATCAAAACCTTTTGCTCGTGGGAAGGATACCTGCTTGTGTGCTACACACCTGGTGCTCCCCCCTGCAGCCAAGGGGAAGCAAAGCGGAGACACGCCAGCATGCTGGTTAGAGACAGCTTTACTTCCTGGCTGCTGTCATGCAGCCGGGGCCTGTGTCCATCGCCCCCAGTGGCAGCTGTGACAGAGAGAGCTGAGTGCATGTCTCCTGAAAACTTAGTGTAACGGGCCAGAGAATCCCACTGAGGAGGCTGCTCCCTGTACTCCCAATCTTCATCCTCCTCCTCCGTAATGCTTTGCTACTCTAGATCGCCAGTATCTAGCTCCATTTGTTGGACACCGGGCCACAGCTCCAGGCATCTCAACCACAGAACCATGTTCACTTGCACAGTCCTCTAATTAACAAGCTCCCCTACAGAAATACACCAACACAGGCAAACCTGCCTGACCACTTGTAAGCCCACTCCTCCCCCACAAGCTTCACAAACTCATCTGCGGTATAGCAAGGAGGGGAGTCGATTTTAGAGGGGCCTCCAGGGGGACACTCTGCTAACAGATCCCTCTAATTTAATTCCAGGAACTGCAGCTCCAAGGCCTCTGTCGGCTGCCGCTGCAGCATAGGTGGGGAGAGATGGATTCTCAGCTCACTAGGACCCAAACCATTTCAGTCGTTACAGATTAAAGTCAGCACCTTGAACTCTGCCTGGAAGCTCCCCAGAAGCCCGTGCAATGCTTACACAGCGCCTTTCAGCTAAGGATCTTCAAAGGTGTGAGTCAGCTCTCCTGACACCACTGTACTGATGGGAAACTGAGGCAGTGGAAGGGCGGGGAATAGAACCTAGTTCTTTTGGCTTTCACTCGCCCGTACTCCAAGAGAGCTGGTGAGAGTGTGTGGAGGGAAAACATCCACGGGAGGAAATGGGGAACGGTGCTTGTGTGCTGCTGAGCTTCCCTGAGCAGGAGCCATCCTCTGTGCTACCCTTCCGTCCCCCCTCACTACGCGGGAGGATAACGTCTCCACCTACTGCACCTAACGCTGAACTACTTGCTTCATTGCAGGTCCCCCAGCCCAGCTGCAGTGGTGCGCCTTGGTGGGCTCCTTTGATGCTCTGGGGAAGTCCCAATGGACGGCGGTGAGGGCCGCGGGGCAGAACTGCAGACATGCTTTGCCTGACATATCTGCTATGTTGGGAGTGAGGAAGCAGTCTAAGGAGAGTGACCGGCTGGCTCAGTACTAGGTGTAAAACATTCCTTCTCTGAGGTTGTGCTGTACCATAGATCTTTAATAACTGCTCAAAAACTTTGTTAATACGTAATGAAGGTTGCCCAGCGCTGCCTAATCCCCTTCCAGAATGTGCACCTATACTTAAACCTATGAAAACCGGGAAGTACAAATATTGTACTGTTCAATAGGTGAGCTCAAGGCCAGTCCATGGTATGCATTTAATGAGGGGCAGAGTCTTAGATTTTTCCTTAGATCTGCACCAAAAAACGCTATTAGAAGCTGAAAATGTTATACTGGGGGGGCTGGGGCTATATTTCAGCAACCCCTTGACCAAATGATCTCAAATTTTCACCATTTACTTTACCCCACACCATTTTGCAGCATACCACTTTTCAAAACAATCGCCTTGTGCATGTGAGTTTTAGAGTAATGTGTCTATTAAAAGCAGCTCCTGGGGGGGGGGGGGTTATCTGAGGAACTAGAGGACAATGACCCCACACTTAGATCACTAACTCTATCCCTGGCCCTGATATGGCATAGCCATTTTCAAACCCAGCTGAGCGTGCATGTGGATTTTAGAACACTTTGAAATAACTGCTCTTGAACCAGAAGCAAAACTTTCCAAAGGCATATCTGCCAATTGCACAGAGCACACATTCTTGGAGCGCCACCAAGGGCTGGGAGTTAATCTCACAGCACACAAGTACTACTGTGGCCGATCAAGGGTCACCACATAACACCCTCAGCCATCACCTTACTCTTATATAGCAGGCTGCCTGCAAGCCCTCTAGCTTGCAGTAGAGCCCCAGACTTGCTGCACATACACAAACGACTTTCACTGATTTGTCAACTTGGCTCAAACCACATTGTAGATCCAACTTTTACACTGGCTAACTTTTAAATATTGCTTCCCTGAAGGGGCAAAGGGTGCTGGGCATTAGCAGAGATCAATTCTCAGCAGGTGACTTCAGTTTGGGGAGGATTAGATTTATAGTTGAGCCCCAGGTGTGCACAAAACATTATAAGAACTGTAAAATGTTGCTATCAAGTGATTTTTTGGGGAGGAGAGGAGGCTGTATCTCAGGAACTGTTAACTCAAATGCTCTCAAATTTGGACCACTGATTAGAACTGTTCCGAAGACAGAAATTCCATTGAGCAAAAGCTTTCGAGATTTGCCTTTGTCCCACTTAAGAACAAGATCCGCACATTGCAAAGTTCTCCATGAAAGAAAATGGCAAAAAAAAAAGAAAAGTTTGGGGTTTATTGAAATGATGTTTCAAGTGACTTTTTACATTTTAAATTACAATATAATATAAAACCAAAACCATTTGAAACGAAAAGTAATTTCAAAACAAAAGATCAGAATGCTGCGATCTGAAAATGTCAGAATGGGACATTGTCGAAGCTTTGGTCCCGGTTTTTCTCTGAACCAAAGTGTTTTGACTTTGAGAGAACAATGTTCTCCCACCGAAAACGATTCCACCAATGGTTTTCTGACCGGCTCTACTCCAGATTCCCCACGCTGTCCAGCCGTTCTAGAGATTGTCTGAGTCAGCATGTGCATTAGAAAAAGGAGCTGTTAACCAGTCACTGCGTCTCAACCTCAACACCAGCAGTGGCTATAATCTCGGACACTAATGTGCATGCTCAGTCAGCCAGTTTGGAATAATTGGTATTTGTTTAACATACAGAAAAATCCTAGAATCCTAGAACCTCTGGGTTGGAAGGGACCTCAGGAGGTTCATCTAGTCCAACCCCCTGCTCAAAGCAGGACCAAGCCCCAGCTAAATCAAAATCAAAATCACTGTCCCTTTTAAATGTAAGTTACAGATGTGCTTAGGAATTTAAATGTGTAGCATTACCGCATGCAAAATGCCTTACTTGACTAATTGGATACAAGGGGAAGTGGCGAATAAGCTGCTGTGCAAGACTGCAGAGGCCTTGGGCTGTAATTACTGATTCCATGGACGGCGAATGAGCCCGACAGATGAGGGAGAGTCAGCGAGGCAGCCCTATGGAGCACTCAGTCCCCTCACTTCTGCAGAAGCACCAAGCAATTGCTCCTGGGTGGAGAAGACGTGATGGGGCTTGTAGGGCACAGAGTCAGCTCTATGGCAGGCAGACAAAGCTCTGGCTGAAACAGACACACTGTGCTCCAGACCCGAGAGATCCCCCTAGTCGCCAGATGGTCCCAGCTGGTTTACAATCTCTGGTTTGCTGTCCTGGTTATACAGACTCCTTGGACTGAAATGCATCCCCAGTCAGGACTGTGCAGGGGGCCTCCTGATTCATTGGGTGCACTATATGAAGCTGCTGAGCAGGCTCCAATACCCCAGCACCACCCTCTGCCATGGGACCACATCCCTAATCCCAGCCCAGTGCAGAGGGCAGGCCCTGGGGTGGGAGTGGAGAGAGAGCCCACCCTGCAGAGGCAGAGGCTCCCCGCTTCGGGCATTAGGAGCTGGTGCACAGGGTCACAGAATGCCGCATGAGCTCGGCCGGGCCACCCCTCCATCATGACCCCACGTGCCAGGTCACAATGCCCGGAGCGGGAGCCAGCCCCAGCCCCAGCCCCGCGGGACAGGAACCACCGCTGCGGGATGAGCGTGATCCAGCTGTGCCTCCAGCAAGGAACTGCCTTCCGCACTGGAAGCGGAAAGGGTCACTTTGGCAAGGCGAACCAATGGAAAGGGCCACCCCAGTTACACCACAGTAAAGAGCAGCCCCCCAAAAGGGGGACTTTCCCCCTTCTTCTAGGAGAAGTCCCAGAAGCTTCCTCCAAGTCTCTCCTTGTTCTGTGGCAAAAGGAGCCAGAGATGGTGCTAGCCCATTGGGGGCCCTAAGCAGGAGTAATTAGGGGGGGCAACACATACTAAACAAGTGAATGGGGGACCCCCCTTGAGCTGCTTGGGGCCCTAGGCAATTGCTTAGTCTGCTTATGCCAATGCCGAGCACCAGCTCTGAAAGGAGCCTGTTATAAACCCAGTCCCATTTTCCAGCAGGCTTTGTCAAGATCCCAGACTATGACCCTGGCTGCTCGGGGGACTACACTTCTCAGCAAGCCCTGAGCTAGTTTTGCCCCTCACTAGGGGAAAGAGAGGGGAGATCCCTCCTGCCTGTGCTGGCCATGGGGGAACACAGGTCCTGAAAGCAGCGTCAGGAGCCTGGGTTTTAACCTACGGCTCAGGCTGCCTGTGAAGAATCACTTGTTACATATTACCCCAGCCCTGACATATCAAGCAGGTCAGTAACAGGGTCACAGCTATGTGTGTGCAGGGGAGATCGTCCTGCAGGCATGCCCTGGTAGATCCGCACTGTCTGCCTTGCAGCCCCGTGGTAAGGTTCCCATGATGTGAGCCCACCTTGGGGCTATCAGCTGCCCACTGCCGCTCTGCCTGACACAGAGAGGTGTACAAACGAATACAGCACCCCTCCCACCCCGGCATGCCCCCAACTGCAACTCACCTGGCCCTTTGCATTGCTGAGGACTGTGGTGCATTCTGGGCCTGTTCGGAAATACTGCTGGGCCCTCACTGTCACGTCTGTGGGTTTTTTATGGGTGCAATCAGTTCTTGCAGCCCAGACCTAAAAACCAGGGCAGATTATTATTGCTGGTTATTTGTTTTAGTGGCATGCCTAGGCGCTCTAGTTGTGGACCAGGGCTCCATTGCACTCAGTGCTGTACAAACACGGAAAAAAAGACAGCCCCTGCCCCAAAGAGCTTACAATCAGATGAACATGTCCTGCCCCTGGGAAAGGGAATCGTGTCTGTGCACCTCCTGGAGCTCACGCCGTATCGCTTACGCCAGCACATCCCTCTCTATATCGCCTATCATCTGAGGGCTTTCAAGTACTTTCCTGACATTAGCCAGCAGGGCTGCTTGCAGAGCAAGGTTCTCCTCGGCATAAGCACAGGGGCAGGATTGGGCCCCAAGGCGCACAACACCCCTGTGTGGTAGGTACGGTTGTTTCCATTTCACAGATGGGTAAAGAGAGACCCCAAGAAATGACTCGCCCAAGGTCAGACAGCGTGCGGTGGTGGAGCTGGGAATGGAACCCAGGAATCCTGCCTCCAAGGCCCCTGCTCTAGCCATTAGACTGCACTGCCTACTTTACTCCTTGTTCTGGTAGCCCATGTCTATGCTCTGTAGCTCTGGCTGGCGATAGCTTTCCATCCACCTTACAGTTTGGCCAGGCGGCTTCCCAGGCTGCTGTGCCATCACTGATGAGAGGCCAGGGCCTGCTGCACTGGGGCCAAGAGTGGCTAAACCAGAAAAGGCCTCTGCCAGACACACAGTGTCAAGTGTTGTTTTAAAAGTGGGGAGGGCTGGGCTGGGCGAAATCCTGTTGGGGGAGTGAGCTTCACAGCTCTGGGGCCCCCAAAGCTCGGGCTCTGCCACTTCCCCCACCCACCTCAGGAATGCTGGGGGAACCCCTGAAGGGAGATGCTGCCTAGCCTGGCAACTGACTCTTCTATACAGCTCTGTGTGTTGTTTGTGGCTCTTCCTCACCAGCTTCCCCTTCCCACTGAGTCAGGCACCTCTGAGACAGCACAGCACCCGGGACATTGTGAGATGAAGAACTCAACTGGAGGAGGCTCCTTCTGTCCTTTGCTGAACCCTAATGCGTGAGGCAGCCTTTGTCCTGCCCTCATCCTCTTGTCTGTCCTGCAGCAGCAGGCAGGGCCCCTTTCCCTCCCTCCCTCCCTCCCCTCCTTTGCTTGGGGCAGAAAGAGAGGTGTGTGGGGGAGGGTGGGGAGGGGAAAGTGTTAAGGTGGCTTTAAGCCCCCTTTGCTTTTCTCATACTCTGGGGCCTACTTCCATGCGCTTGGTTAAAGTTAGGGCAGCTGCAGGGCTGCTCTAATTTACACTCTGCTTTTCATGCCCCCCTATGGGAAGCAAGAATAGCCATAGCTCAATGCATTCTAGACACATCCCCTGAGGGTGACCAGATGTCCCAATATTATAGGGACAGTCCCGATATTTGGGCCTTTTTCTTATATAGGCACCTATTACCCCCTGCCCCCGGCCCGATTTTTCACACTTACTGTCTGGTCACCCTACATCCCCTCCCCACCACGGCCTCCTCTTTCAACAACCCTGACGGGCCCTGACATACCCCTTATGCTGGGGGCCGGGAGCAGGGCTGGCCTAGAGCCGTGTGATGGGGTCTTCTCCCCACACACCCCTGAAGGGATTAAGGTGGCTCAGAAGGGGCTAATTAACCTGGCAGGCTGCACCTGGGGGAAGACATAAGCTTGACTGACAAGCCCGAAGTGAAGATGGAGCCCATTTGGCCAGGAATAGGTGGGGCTTGTATAAAGCCAGGAAGTGAGAGCTGAAGGGGCTGCAGTCTCTCTCTGGGCCTAGTGAGGAGAGGAGGAGGAGGAAACTCGGAGCCCGAGCCCGAGCCCGAGCCCGAGCCCGAGGGTTGGTGGGAAGGGTTTACCCACAGGGGTGGTGGAGGAAGCCTGTGGAGTAGGAAGAGGCCCAGGGAAATAGCAGCAAGGGTTGAGATGGTGCAGACCTGGGCTGCTGGTTGTGGGCCCCTGGACTGGAAAGCAGAGTAGTGGGTGGGGCTGGGTTTCTCTACCAGCCACTGGGACAGTGGCACTGCCTAGAAAGGTACCCCGGCTGCTGGTCTGGTGAGACTTTCTTAACCTGGCAGGGGAAGACGGTATAGGAGCTGGCTGGAGACCAAGCCACCAAGGAGAGGCACTGCGACTCCTTGAGCGAAGGAAGGGAGCGTCTGATCGGGCAGAGGAGACGCTCCAGCAGTGAGTACCCTGTTACAAGCCATTGGGCCACCTCCACGCCAGCCCTGCACAGGAGGTACCCTCAGGGGGCCATTTATCACCCCTTTAAGGGCACTTTTATGCCACCAGAGGTGTCTGCAGCGGCTGTAGTGTAATGGAGAATGGGGCCCAGAGTCTCTGGTTTTCTTAGTCACTCAGTTCTCGCCTTTCCAGCCACTGAGCAGGCAGTGCATCATGCCACAAATGGGCCTGCTGCTTACCGTGATGTGATGCAGTGCGGGCAGCGTGGTGTCTGGGGGGAAGCGGTAGATGGACACCGGGTACCCTCCCATCCACTGCTGGATGATGAAGCCACTCAGGTCCATGTCTTGGTCCAATGAGGTGTTGAGGATTCGAACGAATTTGCCCTTGCGATTCACGGTGGTGATCTTTAGGAAGCCTGTGTCCCCAGGAGCCCTGGGGGTAGGGAGACAAATGGAAGGAATAATGCACCAAAGGAAGAAAGAGGATAGGAGCTTCTCTTCCTCCTCCACTGCTAGCAGACAAGGAGCAAGTGTGTGAGAGAGAGAGACCTATCACTGTCGGAGCTTAAACTTCTTCTGAAGTAAATAGGATGAAATTCAATAAGGATAAATGCAAACTACTCCACTTAGGAAAGAACAATCAATTGAACACATACATATGGGAAATGACTGCCTAGGAAGGAGTACTACAGAAAAGGATCTGGGGTTCATAGTGGATCACAAGCTAAATAGGAGTCAACAGGGTAATGCTGTTGCAAAAAAAAAAAAATCATCATTCTGGGATGGATTAGCAGGAGTGTTGTGAGCAAGGCACGAGAAGTAATTTTTCCGCTTCACTCTGCACTAATAAGGCCTCAACTGTAGTACTGTGTCCAGTTCTGGGTGCCACACTTCAGGAAAGATGTGGACAAATTGGAGAGTCCAGAGGTGAGCAACAAAAATTATTAAATGTCTAGAAAACGTGACCTATGAGGGCAGATTGAAAAAATTGGGTTTCTTTACTCTGGAGAAGAGAAGACTGAGGTGGGACATGATAACAGTTTTCAAGTACATAAAGGTTGTTACAAAGAGGAGGGAGAAAAATTGTTCTCGTTGTCCTCTGAGGATAGGACAAGAAGTAATGGGCTTAAATTGCAGCAATTTAAGCACTGGAATAAATTGCCCAGGGAGGTTGTGGAATCTCCATCATTGGAGATTTTTAAGAGTCCGTTGGATAAACACCTGTCAGGAATGGTCTAGTTATTATGTAGTTCTGCCTTGAGTGCAGGGGACTGGATTAGATGAACTCTCAAGGTCTCTTCCAGTCCTACACTTCTGTAATTCTTCCTGAGTCCCAGCTACATGAGAGCAGCTGCCTGTATCTGTGTCTGACGTTCTCAGGGGTGCCAGGTCATGGCACTCACCTTTCGTATTCTTCGCCTTTGCTCCGACCTGAGGGCATCGCAGATGTCTTGCAAGCTCCTATCCCATCAAGACTGGCATGAGTGAGACGGCACAGATCCTGGGACTGCTCTGTCTTCAGATCCAGGACTTTTAAAAGAAAGAGACACAAACTCAAAGTGGGGGGGACAGCTACTGAATATTAACATGTGCTAATGTAATCCTCTGAAAGGGGAAACCGAGGTGGAGCTCAGTCTGCCCAGTTCTCCTCAGAGGTAGAACTGGTTTCAGATAACATCCAATTTACTATGTACTCTTGCTTTTTAGGGGGGGTTCACAGATTCTAAGGCTAGAAGGGACCATTATGATCCATTAGTTAGACCATTGCCTAACATAGGCCGTAGGACTCTACTCCGTGATTCTCACGGTAACTCGTGGTTGAACTAGTGTGCCTCTTCCGAAGGATGTTCACTCCTGATCTGAAGACTCCAAGCGATGGCAAATTGACCACATCTCCTGGCCAGGTGTCTCAATGGTTAATCCCCCTCCCTGTTAAACGTGCACCTTGTTCCCAGCCCCAGCCAGGCTGCAGGTTCAAACACTGCTCTGGGCGCTGACCTGGCAGCGTGGTGCCTGATGCCGTGCTATGACAGGGGCTGTCCTCAACACAAAATGCCTGCCTGGCTGTGTTAGATGCCAGTGCCCCGACGGTGCTTCGCCAAAGGAGAAGGCCTAACGCTGATGTCCTGGCCAGCATCGTCTCTCCTAGGAGAGACTTCTACCCGGTGCCTGTGACGCCCCTCTCCCTGGTGGCCATGCCAATAGCTATTCAAGATCCCAGAAGCTCTTGGAAAAGAGTAAGGAATGACGCCGTGTGTTCTGACAAATTTCCCTGTGCACTAGTGTCCTCCTGCTACTAATGAAAACCCCGGCACAACTTTACTGTGCGTCAGTGGTTCCAACCTGGGCCCTTTAACATCCAAAGCTGCGATGCGTGAGCTGTGACTCAGGGCCCCAGGGGTGCCCTGTCTTCCTGTGCAGTCCCTATAATCTCTAGCTAGCACTGGGCCCTGCCAGTGCAGGATTGCTGCTTGCAGTGGATTCTGGGGCACTCTGGCCAGTTAATCAATTCCGTTTTGGGGTGTCTCTGCTTGGAGCTGGGGGTGTGATTCCCAGCTGGAGGAGACATAGCTGCACTCGCTCGCAGTGAGCTAGCAGGCTAAAAATAGCCTAGCCGGGGTGATGTGAGTGGTGGGAGAGGACTACCTGCTCCGAATACATACCTAGTATCTCTGGGCAGGAGCTCAGGGTGGCTAGCCCCTCCTGCCGCGTGTGCTGTTGTGATGACGAGAGCTAGCATAGGTTTGTCTCCTCCAGCTGGGAATCATGCCCCCAGTGCCAGGTGTAGGCATACGCGTAAGTGTCAAGTGTTTGGTGATGCCTGGTGTGTGACCAGTACTGCAGAAAACCGAGGGCAATCGGTGCCTGGGATGGCTGGTTCTCTCCCGTGACCGTACGGTGTGACTGGGTGGGGTTTTCTGAACTAAGCTTTGTTAGTTGGGAGGTTAGTTAAAGCTGTCATCAAGTTACAGCTGCTGTAGATCCCAGGAGGTGGCTGCAGGAACTATTTATATCCTGCGAGAAAAGATCATCTTGTGGTTCAGGCACTGGACTGGGCCTCAGGGGACATCATTCATTCTCAACTCTGCCACAGGCTTCCTGTGTGGTCTTGGGGAAGTCACTTAATCTCTCTACATAATGGGCATAATAAAGCTCCCTTTGTCTATTTAGTCTATAAACCCTTTGGAATAGGGGCTGTCTCTTACTATATGCATGCTCGGCACCTAACACAATGGGGCCTTGACATTGGATAGGGAATCCAGACACTAGCATAATAATAATAATTAATAATTCAATAAACTCCCCAGTGTGGTTAAAATATACTTAGTTCCTGTAGTTTGCCAGCTGGACCCTGATTTCAGTTATGCCAGAGTGACTGTACTGAAATTGGTAGAATAACTGAGAACATTTTTTAACTGTCAGGGGACCACAGGATTGTAACTGGATCCCTCAGGACAGTAGTTATCACATTGTAAAGGAGTCATTTAGCGTCAACTGTAACTGATTCTCACCCTCTTGGACAGATTAATCTAGATTACATGAGCCCAGGCCATGTGTCTGCAAGTGTTGCCCATGCATGACTCCCCTAATGCCAGATCGTATAAAGTGGCAGAATTTAAACTTACAACCAGAGTGTTTGGGCTGGATGTTCTCCCAGGATGGTGGGAGACTGGGGAACAATACCGTAATTTCAGACCTGCTTGGTGTAGAAACAAGATCTGATTTTGGAGAAGAGATGACATCCCACCAAGAACTTTCTGAGTATAGTTTCCTCTCCTGTCTTGCAGGTGAACTAACCAGCTCTAGACTTGAACTGAAGCTGCTAAAATCACTCATTTTCCATCTGTAGGAAAAGATAAAATGTTTAAAGTCTGGCTGGATTGATGTACTGTTTATAATGTTTGGCAGTCTCTACCCCAGAAATAGAATGAATTAACTAATGAACTATGGGTGATGGAAAAGTAATCCTTATTCAGTTTGATAAGTAGAAAAACTATCTTGTGTATGTTCTGGCCAGACCCTGGGGGTAGCATATCACCTATCGGTAGTACATTTAAAGGTGCGTTGACTTATAAACTAAAAGCAAACCACTTTAGAATGTTTTACTGGATGCTTCAGATAGCTCAGCAATGACAGGCATTCAATACAGATTGGACTTTAAATGTGCCTTTCTACAAAGTCCATTTCCTGCCTCATAATGCCCCAACATGCACTGTGCTGGTAACCTCATACCCACCCCTTACAGATTATCGTTATTTTGTAAAACAAGGGTTTTTCTTTAAAAAATTGCAAAATACAGTATAGTGTAGAACCCCACGCTGGAGCAAGTGGCTGCTGTCTTGCTATATGGAATAACAGACAGACCTGTGATTATTATATAAAACACCAAACTAGTTTCTACACAGCTTGAGTTCCAGCTTCCTCTTCATTGTTTACCAAGGACCACATTCTGTCTGGAACTCTATCCAGAAAACAGACTTCTAGTGGCTGAATAATATAATGCAGGTAGACCTGCATTGCAGCCACTGTCCTCTCCAGTGGAGTTCTGCGCTTTACATAGCATTAGCGGAGTACATGCTGGGGCTGGAGGGGGGTAGTCTTAACACAGGAGAACTTGAAAATCGGCAAATTTTAAGCCCATTTTGTGGTCCGTGCCCCTCAGACAGTACATAAAACTGATGTATCTGGGCTTACAAAAATATTGTTTGTAGTAACCCTTTAAATAATGAGTCAAACACTGGTACCTAATCAAATGGATTACAAAAGCACTTTTTAGCACATTAGACAGCTAATAACCAGACAACTATAGAAAAAGGCAGGCCTATTGCAGCTGTATCAGCTGACATGAAAACTCAATGGCTTGCTCCACTGCTTGCTGGGTTAGTCATATAAGGCCATTTTTCCTCCTCTCTAGTTTAGTTTCTCCATAATATGAATCACTACAAAACACACACGCCCCAGTGCTGTGTTGCCTTGACTCAAGGGAATCTGAGTTTATGATCAATGCCTGGAGGTTGGAGGATGCTGTGGGGAGACTCCCCAGTAGGAAGGGGGATAGACCCCCATACATCCACAATGGAAAACAATGAAGCAACAGACCATAGTAGCTATTGTGGCTATTCATTCTGAGAGACATCCTGGGGTAGAGTGAGGGTTTCTCTGGATACATGGGACCCCTTGTTAAAAAGGATTGATTATAAGATGGTAGTTCAGTGTGATGGGGTGGCATGCTCCTTAAGAGTAGTGGGGCCTAATGGTCAGCCCACCCCATCACGTAGCAAGCCTTTAAGAGTTTGAAATGTCCGACTGTATAGACAAGGACCTGGGAGCAGGGGCAGCAAGTTGTATGGGCCCGTGGTGCCTGGGCTCCAGCAATATTCAGGGCCTGGGGCCCCACCTGCCACCCCCTCATGCCTGCCCTGAGTGCCCACTGGCCTCCACTTGCTGCCCGGGCGCACCTTCCCTGGGTCTCTGTGTGCAGAGCATCCCTATCTCTCCCCTGCAGCTCCATGCTGCCTCCCTGCATCAACTGCTCCCGCAGGGTCCTAGTGCCCCCCATCCCCTAGTGCCAGGGCAGGCTAACCCTGACCCTGCTCTTCTCCCTCAGACCCTTTCATTTTCCAGCAGGACCCTCCACAAGCACAGGGGTCCCCCACACCTGCAGTCACAGCTCCTGCCCCACACTGGGCAAGGGGAAGCCCCACCCTCCACCCCCAGTGAGGCTACAGTGAGGGGCAGCAGCAGGGGAGGAGGTGCATGTGTGATGGCAGCCTCCCCTCCCCCCAGCACCCACCACAGGGGAGGAAGGGGGGCTTCCTGTACCTGAGAGGGGCCCTAGGAGCATGTGCAGTGACAGTGGTGCAAGGTGAGTGTGGTGCAGAGGGGAAGTGGGGGGGGCCCTCCCCTGGAGCTTGCTGCTGCCTGCAGGGAGAGGGCTGGGGAGAGTCCTCCTCTTGGGCCCTTTACCCTGGGGCAGCCTGTCTGCACCCCAAACTCCTCATCTCCATCCCTGTCCTACCCCAGAGCCCACATCCCCAGCCAGAGCCCTCACCCCCTGCACCCCAACCCTCTTCCCCAGCCTGAGCCCCTCCCAAACCCCTCAACCTCAACTCAGGCAGAGGGCTGGCCCTCTCACACCCCAAACCCCTCATCACCAGCCCCACCCCAGAGCCCTCACAGTTTTACATTATTTTAAATATACAGTAACTCCTCGCTTAATATTGTCGTTATGTTCCTGAAAAATGCTACTTTAAGGGAAATGATGTTAAGCGAATCCAGTTTCCCCATAAGAATTAATGTAAATAGGGAGATTAGGTTCCAGGGAACTTTTTTTGCCAATGGAAGCTTGGTTGAGGTGGTGGAGTCAGGGGGTGGGATATTTCCCAGGGAATGCCTTACTGCTAAATGATGAACTAGCACTCCCCTGAGCCCTCAAGGGTTAACACGTTGTTAATGCAGCCTCACACTCTATAAGGCACCACAAATGGGGGTGGGGGGAGAACAGCATGGCAGAGAGAGACAGAGACACACACACCCTGTGTGTGAGAGAGAGACTTTGAGACAGCAGCTGCTGCCAGCAAGCTCCCTCCATTCTGAGCCCTGTCGTATCCCACCCCTGCTCTGTGGAGATGGGGGGGGGGGCAGGAACGGGGGAGGGGGACACCCTAACATCAGCACCCCTCTTCCCCCTCCGCCCCTGCACAGCAAGCAGGAGGTTCATGGAGCAGCTCCAAGGCAGAGGGCAGGAGCCGCACGTGGCAGTGGGGGGAGAGACACCTGAACTGTCCAGCAATTGATAGTCTGCTGGGCGGCAGCCGCACGGGGAACTTAGGGGAGCTGACAGGGGGGTGTCGGTCCACCCTGGTTCCAAGCCCCCACCACTAACTCCAAAGGGCTGCTCTTCCTCCAAGCAGTGGACAAAGTAGGCGGCTGCCAAACAACACTATAAGGGAGAATAGCGCAATTTTAAATGAGCATGTTCTTTAACAGATCAGCAACGTATTACCTAAACAACGTTAATTGGGACAACCTTAAGTGAGGAGTTACTGTATGTTGGCTTACAAGGCTGGGGGGGGACAGGACTTGGACCTGTTCTGGGCACCACCAAAAATTATACAAACCTGCCACCCCTGCCTGGGAGATATTGGGAGAGCGGAAGTGGTTCTAGGAGTAAGAAGTGTTTTGGGAGGAAATGCCAATACTGTTTCTTTAAGGGACAGGGCCCTTACAGAGACGGTGGGGCAAAGTCCCCAGCCAACTGGGGATGAATTAGGAGAAGGGGAGCAGCGCATATGCTGCCTCTTCCCTGATAGCAGGGCAGCCAGCAATGCAGAAAGGCTAGCTGAGAAGCTTGAGGGAAAAGGGGCCAGCTGAGGGGGAAGCTGGCAAAGACCTTACAGCTGGCTAATCCACAACTCCACTTCAGAGGGGAGAATGGGGGACTCCTGCTTAAGGAAGGGCTGAAAAGGAGTAACCCAGAGACAGAACCAGGGAGAGTCCCAGAAACAGACTGCTCACAGGTTTGGGGAAGCAGAGTGTCCTGAAGGAAGGAGCCAGAGATTGCTGGCAGGGCTGGCCCTAGACCAAATGGTGCCCCAGTCGAGGAGTGTTTTCGGCACCCCACCTCCATTTCCGTGCCAACCACACATACACTTTCACAATTACACAATAAAATGAAGTTCACAATATCACAGCTAGGCTCTCACTTCACTTCGCTCTTAATCTCATTGACTGACGGCCCACAATATTCTAGGGGATTCAAGGAAAATGTAGTTCTCAGAAAGTCTCTAAAGTTCCATGAGATTCTACAAAGGTCCAGAATATTCTAGGACGTTAGTGAAAAATTAATTCACCTATGGAATACCTGAAATATTTTACTTCAAACATTCTATTTTCCCTTTTGTCACTAACAACAAAAACAGTACCCAAGCCTGGTGTCCCCCAAGCCTTTCACCCCAAATCCAGTCCTTGATTGCTGGTTGGACTGAGCATGGCACAACAAATATCCCTCAGTGTATTGGGGTAAGCACCTATTTATGCCTATTGCAGTCAATACATGGACCTTGGAAAGGGGGGGTGCTCGTTGATTAAAACGTCTAGCCTGGTTTATAGCTTGGGTGAAGAGGAGTGAGGCAGGGCTCACCTCTGGCACCATGTCTGGCCAAAAGGGGTAGACTGGGGTGACCTCCATGCCATCACACTCGGATAAGGGCATGAGAAGAGCGAGGTGAAGGGGGTAGGGTCCCCCTATTGGAGTGGCAGGTGTGAATCTTGCACTCCCTGTAGAAATCCTGTTTCTTCTATATGTAGCTCACAGTAACAGTTACAGACCAAACAGCCCTGCTGTAAATCCATTCGGCCTGTTTCTCTCTCATGCATACCAGTGTAAATCAGGAGTGACTCTAACAATGTCAGTGGAGTTACACTGGGCTAGAACTGGTGTCACTGTGAATTTGCCCCATAGACTTCATGGGGACACCCCTGACTCTAATATGAAGCCGCTAGTGGTGCTGCGAACATCAGTATTGTGGGGATTAACTACTAGCCCTGTGGTAATGGAGAGCAGGTGGGGAGCAGTCACTGGCTTTGCCGTACCTGGCCTCTGACTCTGTAGAGGACTTGGGGTTGACGTTGAATTCTGCTTGAACTACTTCTGCCATCTGGGTTCCTCCGTTGTCCTTTTCCCTCTCAAGTGTTGCTGGATCTCTATCCTAAAAAAGCGGAAGAAACTGGTGAACCTGCCAATCGCTGTCCAGGACTGCGATCTGTGTGCCAACTGCTAGCCCCTTTCGTGTCCTCTAGAGACAAATGCCACAGCCAAAAATGGTGGCAGAGTGACTATTGTGTCTGTTCTAAGCCCAAGGCTGCAGGGTTCCCTACGAGCTTTTGGACAGCCCAAAGATCTGGCTCTGCCGTGTTCACTGAAAGGGTCGGACAAGGGCCTCACTACCAGTGCCAGTCCCAGGAGCGTTTCTCTTCCCCTCCTGGCCCCTCACCAGCTGTTTAATACAATCGCACACTGATGGCACATCAAGCAGTGAAGTGGAGTCTTTTGTCAGAAGGGGCTTCCAGTCCCTGGTCTTGCACTTAACCCTGACTCTACCGCCCTCCATGGAGCTGTGCACTGGACTGACCTTGAAGAATGAATCCAGGAAGCTCATGTGCTTGGGGATCCTCCGCAGCACCATGTTACTAGGCTCTGCCTCTACGTTGTTTCCCATCTCTGTCCAAAGCTACATGGAGAGATGCAAGCAGCACGTTAACAGAGCCACTCCATCATGTGTGATTTGTCCTGTGTGCAAGAGTGTTTTCCGAGTCCTAACTTCGGTCGTCCTTTATCATATCCCCCCCACTCCCCCGCCATCAGTTGGACTCAGGTGCTGCAGCCCCACTGCAGGGCATGCGCTTTGATCCTCTAGCTCATGGATTCTCAATGTGGGGATCAAAACGGGGCCCCAGGGGCGTGTGACCACCCACCCTCCCTATACTGGTAGATGAGAGGAGGTTCCTGGCTAGATGTGGGAAGAGTCCCAGGGTGGAGGGGGCCTGACATGAAACAAGCTAAAGCAGTGATCCTCGGCCAACATCACACCCTCTTTGTGGACACGCTAAAGCACAATCCGTGTTCACTTACTCAAGGGTGAGCATTCAGTTCTGTCTTTAAATAACCTCCCTCTCGACCCCCAAACTCCAGTAATGGTCTTAACATGACTGTGAGCTGGCATGTTTATTTCTGTGGTTTTGGGACATTTCTGTAAGTGGCTTTTTTTTTGCCCCCAGAGCAGTCTCTGTGCTGTTTTCTGGTCCCTATGTCCCCTGCAGCTATAGATCTGTCTAGTAGGGACCATCAAGACTCCGCAGCACTGGGGGAAGATCATAAAAAGCAAAACCAGAATTTAGTGCAGTGTTTTGCTGAGGGCCACTATTTGGGCCAATCAGGTCTGCACTCTGATCTGTAGGGTGGAGGGTGTGTTTATTCACTTGGCATAGAGCCTGGAGAAGACCCTGAACAGGACTTCTAACCCCACTGTACCAGAGTCAGACTGCTCTTTATCCTCTGTCGCAGTGCTAGCTGGATATTTCCTTTCAGGTTTTTTTAACCATGCTTAAGTTGTCACCTGAAGCAGATGTGAAAGAAGAAAATACCATCTCTGAGAATCAAAGGTCTGTCCTGAAAAACACCATGCATGTCTTGTTTTAGACTTGCAGTCTCTGTAACTAGTGCATGGGCTAGTGGTTACAGCAGGGTAAGGAGAATCAGAACTTGCTCCTTGACTCTGCTACTGTATGTAGAAGAACACAAGGCAAGTCACCTTCCTTCATTAAGTCTCCAATTCCCTCTCCCTAAAGTACAGCAATGCTTTCCTGCCTACCAAGAGTGGGCCAAAGCTAACTGTCGCCGAAGAGCTTGGAGATAAATTGGAGGAAAGGTGCCATATTTGTGCCAAGTAATGGGATGATTTTGTAACATGCCCACTGGTGCAACTGTACTGCCAGCTAGTGGGGAGGGTGCCTCAGAATCAATTCGCTCACAGGTGATGAGGTGTCTCTGCAAGTGGAGTCATGAATATTATTAGCTGGTGTCAGAAGAAAAACCTGTTGCTTTTGCCAGGCTCACTTCCCCCAGCTAACCCTTACTACAGTATCAGACAACAGGAGAAGATGGCAATGAGTCGGTGACAATGCTTAAAAGTTTGCAGTCCTGAAAACCCTTGTCTATGGGACAGGAAATATCCCCTACTGCCAATGGATGTCAGCAATAAGTGCAGTTGTCCCAGTTTAACTGCAAGAGTAGCCAAGCACGCACCATGTTCTAGCATCATTTCAGAAACTGGTTTGTGCTTGGCTATTCTCGCAGCTGAGTCATGGTCCACACCCTGTTCAGCTGCACCCATGGGTGCAATTATGAGAGTGTAAGCAACACCTAAGAGCCACTAGTTGACAGAGAGGGCTTTGCTGTTTTGGTTGTGTTTGTTCTGAATTCCGCTGGGTCTCTGCTTCTCTTTCACATTTAACTTATTTTTAAATTCCTGCTTAACAACATTCTCCTGCCTCTCCCTCCAGCCCCAGGTTTGGTTTTCCTCTTGAATCTCAAGGAGTGAATTGTAAAGAGTCCAGGCGTGTTTATTCCCTTCTCTTAATGGGATGGGGTGCGCTTTGCAGCCCCTCAGAGCTGCTGAAGAGCATACCCCTCGCTGGTCCTGCTTCACTCTTTACGTATTGGGGATCCATCTGCCTTATTCGTGATTGATTTTAAGGTTTGAAATATAATCTGCCCCCATTAGTTTAGCTCTGGTTCTGCTTATTTTACTGGGGTGTGTCACATTTTGACTTCAAATTCCAAAGGATCCCCCGCTCCTTTCTTGTGTGCCTGCATGAAGATGCCCATAATCAAACAGGGCCATCTGCTTTTCCACTACTTCGTTTGTTTTGCCTAAAGTCACAAAGGTTGATTTTAAAAACAGAAGGAAGCTTAGCCATGTGGGGAGCAATAACATGTGAATTCCATATGCAGCAAAGGCTTATTGGCTATCTCCCCCTAGTGTCCAAATGGTGTAATGAATCTAGGGGTTGATTCTGCTCCCATTGAAATCAATGGCCAAATTCTTATTAGCTTCAATTTTGCAGGATCAGCTCCCTCCTTAGCAAGGACAATTATGGGCTTGCTTTCAGCCAGTAGGGGATTCTGACAGCTCGGCAATGCTGGGTTTATTTTTCTAATTTTATCTTTTTTGGCTTTTGTCACTGGCATTATTTAAATTGCTGAGATGCCCTGATCTGCAATACTGTGCTCAGTTCTGGCCATCCAGCCTCAAAGGACACCGCAAAATGAACGGTACCGAAAAGGTAGATCAGGAAAGTGTTACAAGAAGGGCGAATAAACAGGTAGCAAAGGTACAGACAATGAAACGGAAAGGTGGCAAATCTGAAACTGCTCAGAGAAAATATTTTTTTCCACACACACACTGCGAAGTTAAGCTGTGGAACTCACTGTCACAGGATACTGTTGAGGGCGCAAAAAAAGGGAGAAGAGAGCTAGATGGCTAGCCAGGACACCCTGAGTTACAACACTAAGGGTGTTAAACAAACAAGAAATTGGGAGGTGTGTTATCCCATTACGGCCTGCTGAAGGCTTTCTTGCATCTTCTTCGGAAGAAGCGGGTACGGGCCCCAGCAGGGGTATGTGCACTGCTGAATACTGCGCACACAGACGTGTGTTAATGCTGCTGGACCAGCACACTAAAAATAGCCATACCCAGAGCCTAGACTAGCCGGATGAGCGCTGGTGCGACCCAGTCCGTTAGTTCCTAGGATCCTCTAATCCTGTTCTGGGGCGAAGAGGGTGAAGGGTCCCTAGCAGTCCGCTCTGCAGGGTGGTCCTTAGGCCAGACCCACGGGCTTTCCTGCAACTGTGCCACCAGAGCAGGCCCCAGCACCTGCCTCTAACCCTACAGAGGAGTTTTGTTGACTCAGCACATATCTCCTCCTCTCTTAATGGGTTTTAACTCCTCTTCCCACAGCATTTCTGAGGCCCCTCCACATAAACCACGCTACCAGATATAGGGGGAGTCGCAGCAAAATGTGCCCAGCTCCCCATGTGCCCTTGCTGCCTGAAGTCACGGGCACTCCAGCAGCCTGTGGGCCAGCTAATCTAGCTCTGCCTTCCAGTCCTCACCTCATGTCTCTGTAACTTCCGACAGAGCCAGCCTGAGCTGACCTGCCCCAAAGGGGGAACGCCTTAGCTGCTCCTTACAAATCTAGTTCCAATTGCAGGGGAGGTATTTTGTCGTGATATAAGGGCAGCCCTGGCTGTGACCTGCCCAGACACGCACCCCCACGCTATCCCCACCCCCACTGGATGCCTTCTGCCTAAGCCCTGCTCCGTAACCACATTACATCAAAACTGAGCCATCCAGGGCACGCAGCGCTGTGAGTTTCCCTGGCCTGGGGCCACGCTTGCCCACTGCATAGCTTCCATCCTCTTCTGGATTAGAGCGGAGCTGCATACCACATACCATTGCTGTAATGCAGTTTGCAGATCCCCCAGCACTGCAGGCTCAAACCTGTTCCAACATTCTCGTCCCTCTGCCAAGGTTTCTGTGCCAAATTAGGGTTCTAATTCCTGAACAGGAGACACTGTGCTTAGCTAGATTGGCGTTGGAATTTCTCTCACACATGAAGCAGGATTTATTCCTTATAACAGGGCACCTGTCCAGGAGGGGGCTGAAGGCTGGATTCTAATACCAATGAAGTCAATGGGAATTTTGCTATTGGCTTCAGTGGGAACCAGCCCAAACTCTGATTTTGCACCTTTCTTATTCTTTCTGCATTTGTCTTTTGCCTGTGACTTGCTCTCTCTCCCAGGCTTATGTGCATTTTAGCAGACAGTTATCTGCAGGATCCTTGTATTTTTGGCCCCTATTCACACTGATATAGAAACTGATAGCTACAATAGTGCTTGAACAAGGTTATTACTAGCAGGGCTCCAGCACATTTTCCCTGACCAGTGCGTGCAAGTGTTGTTGTTGTTTTGTCTGAGATCTGTGTTGTAAAACCATGCTATGGATTACATAGGGTGCATTTTCCACTGCGTGCATCCGATGAAGTGAGCTGGAGCTCACGAAAGCTTATGCTCAAATCAACTTGTTAGTCTCTAAGGTGCCACAAGTTCTCCTTTTCTTTTTATAGGCTGCATAGTTCAGCGCCTTTCTTTTCAGTTTAAACTGATTTTTACTGAAAAAATCACGGGTTCTTCAGTGTTTAGTTTTTTCCGATTTTCACCCTACTTTTGTATCATTCAAATATATAAAAAATAACTGTTTTATTAGGAAAATGCAATATGCTGCATGAGATGTATGTATGACGATAATACATTAGTCTGTGTGTATATGCAAAGCTGCCTATTGAAGTAAGGCCATGTATTAGTCTAAAAGATACACACAACAAACAGGCACACACACAAGCTCTGAAGCGCGTGCACATCTGAACGTACTGACGAATCTCACGCCCACCACGTACACCTTTCAAGCTGTTAGCAGATAATGGTTTAAAAATCTGACCCACTAAAATGGGGAGAAAACAAAAATCTGTATCCGAATATTCAAAAGTGTTCAAAAAACAGGGGAAAAGGATGAAGTTGAGTATATGCGCTGCAAATGGTGTGGCCCATATATATTTATAAATATGTAAATATAGGCTAATAGTTCTAAGTCTACAACAGTAAACTGTTTAT